CTTTCAACCTGAGATTTCACAAGTGAGCGCTGTGGCTTTCAAGGTCCACTGTTTCTTTCTTTCCATTTGAGTAAGACAAAAAAAACAAACGAGGACACCAACTATAGCCCAGCAACCTCAACCTCGCTTCCTTGACCCTTCCATCAGGGTCTGAGAAACCTTTCTTCTCAGCAGCCTTCCTGAGTTTATGTTTTGTTCATTGTAATTTACCAGTTGGAAGTCAGGTTAACAAACCCATTGAAATGCTGCAAGTATATGGTAGTTGCTGACACGGATCAAGGTGTAGTGCGGGCGACTTGCTTTGTCAAAAAAGACCATATAGATGTCACCAGCATGACTGCCCTGCATCCGTCTTCTGATCTCCACTGTCCAGTCCTGCATGGAAAGCTTTTCCGCAATGTCATATTGCCTTAGCTTACTCGATTATGATATTTGATGTATGCAAACATTTGCCCAAAAAAACCATTTGCATATGTGTTGCGCACGGGATCGTTTGTTCTTCTTCTTTGTAGCTGCCAATTCAAGCTGCTTGGAGGGGTGAGGGAGATGACCTGTTGCTCTATCCAAAGCTTCTTGTTGAACCTTTGATATGCGGAAATTGAACCTTTCCCCAGATAGGATTGTAAAGTCCTCGAATTCCACGATATCACCAACGCTTTTCTTCTCTTTGCCTTTCTTCTTCTTTGCTGCAGCCTCAAGATTGAAAGCAAACCCCAAAATTTAACAAAACAAAAAGCATGCCACAAGTCATACACACTTTCGTGCTGTCGCCAGGGAACTTCCGGCTCCGCGTCTTTGGCACTGGCAGCAGAGGCTGCTATATCGGGGCCTGGGGTGCGGCTAGGGTATGGCAAAAGCAACACACCAAGGTTAAATGACATTCCAAAAAAGAACGTAATCTCCAACAAGGGGCGTTTGGAGCGGACCCTGCGCAAGGGCGGTGCTGGCTTTGGCTTGGAATCCGGGTCTTCCATAGCATCATCCAAAGCCTCCTCCAAATCCAAGTCCAAAGCAGGCACCTGCAGGTCAGGTCTGAGGAGAACAAATACAATATTAACTTTATATACCTTAACAGCATGAGAGCTGATCCAAAAAATAAAAATACTCTTATGCACAAGTAGGTCACATGGTCCCAACCAAATATCTCAGGGATGGTGGTCTGGCGCTTTGCACATACAAAGTTGCCAGAAGGAGTAAATGGGGTCGAGACCCGTGTGTCAGTCCACCTTTTGATGTTGGACATTGGGTATTCAGGCCGGATATGAAGCTGACCAGCCTCACTCTTTCCATCTGAATCATCTCCTTCGGGCCCATCCTCACCTTCCTCATCGCCACCTTCACTCTCCGAGCTGCTTGACTCGGTGCTGCTGCTCGAGCTGCTGCTGCTGGCCCCACCTTCACTCTTGGAAGCCTGCTGTTCTTCTGCATCACTATCATTCAGCTCGGCTTTCACTTCTCCCTTTGCTTCCTCCTTTATTTCATCCTTTGCTTCCTCCTTTGCTTTTTGTTCTTCCTTTGAAGACCTCACCTCAGCCTCACCTTTCTTCTCATCATTCTCATTCTCCTTCCCCTTCAGCACTTCGACATCCTCAGCATCCTCATTCACACGCTTTTCACTTTCAGTCCCAGAGTGGCCACCCTGGCCATCATGGTCTGACTCTGGATCATCTTGTTCTAGCTCCTCTTCTTCTCCACCTTCTTCTTTTCGGACTCCTGTCTCAGCAGACCTTAGACGGTCGTTATCATTTTCTGAAGCCTTTGCCTCCTCTTCCCTTTCGCCATCATCACTGGCCTCAGGATCCATGTCAGTTTCGTCTTCACTAGTTTCGGGTGAGGGGATTTCAACTTCCTCATTGCCAGCTCCTTTCATTTGGCTTGGCCTCGTTTTTGGAGTTGGCACATCTTGGTCATGGATTTTCTCCTTTTCTTCTGTGTCTGACATGATGTCTTCTTCCTCTTCAGGTTCCTCGGCTGTGCCACTTGTGTTTTCCTCATTGCTCTCAGCAGCAGAGTTGGCAGTTTCCACCAAGGATTGACGTTCTCTCTTTCTTGCTTCCTGCTCATCTATCAGCCCTGTCAACTCCCTTGTTTCTTTGAATAGCTCAATTTGCCACTCTTCTAAGTCTGCCCATCCCTGTGCTTCTCTCCATCTGGCCTCCTGCTCATCGAACTCCTTTGCTCGCTTGGCCGCATCCTCTGCGCTGTCTTTGTCAGCCTGATCATCCACCTCACGGTTGGAATCATTTTCATATGCTTCACTCCTTTCTCCTGCCTCACCATCACTTTCTTTTTCCTCTTCGTCATCTTCTTTCCTCTCCTGCTCTTTGTGAGACATGTCCTCATCTTCAACCTTGTCCTCCTCCTCTCCTGCTTCATTCTTTTCCGTGGTCTCAACTTCACTTTCTTCTTCTTCTTCTCCATCACTTTCTTGTTTGGCCTCTTCTTCTTCAGACATATCCTCATCTTCAACCTTGTCCTCCTCTTCTTGTTCTTCGCTTCTTTCTACTGCCTCGCCATCACTTTCTTCTTCATCTCCTTCAGCATTTCCTTTGTTGGCCATATCCTCATCTTCAGCCTTGTCCTCAGCCTCCTCTTCTTCTTCTTCACTGATTTCACAGGCATCACCCTGATGTTCTTCCTCGTGTTCCTCGTGTTTTCTGTGGCCTTCACCTGCTTCTTCAGCCTCGTCCTCCTCGTCTGATGCGCTCATTTGTTCATCAGCAGCCTTTTCTTTTTTGGCCTCGTCCTCACTCTCTTCATTCCTCTGCTGGTTCTTTGTGTCGCCCTCATTGTCAGCCTTGTCCTCTTTTTCTGTTTCTTTACTTCTTTCTCCTGCCTCACCAACACTTTGTTCTTCATCTCCTTCATTTTCTCTCCTGATTTTTCCTTTGTTGGCCGCGTCCTCATCTTCAGCCTCGGCCTCCTCTTCTTCTGCTTCATTGCTTTCACAGGCCTCACCCTGATGTGTTTTATCATGTTTTCTTTGGCCTTCACCTGCTTCTTCAGCCTCGTCCTCCTCTTCTGACGCGCTCACTTGTTCAGCAGCAGCCTTCTCTTCATCGCCCTCCTCCTCACTCTCGTCATTCTTTTCATGTGTCTTTGTGTCATCGTCATTTTCTTGGGCCTCATCCTCACTCTCTTCTTCGTTCCTTTCCTGGTTCTTTTTGCCACCCTCACATTCATCATCGATGTCGGCCTCAGTCAGGTCTTCTTCACTCTCTTCACCTGTCTCTCCATCACCCTCTTCTTCACCAGCTTTGCTGTCATCTGGTTCATTGCAACCTTGATCATCTCCATCTTCAACCCTTGCCCGTTTCGTAGGTGCCCCCTCACCACTATCTTTGTCAGCTTCATTGATCGATTCCTGAAAGCACGGGTTTTCGATCAATGGAAGGGATATGACAGAGAGCATGATATGTCCAAGTCAGTGGACCGTGGATGGGGGAATAGGGTTCCCAAAACTCAAATCATCACCAAAACACCATCTCACTTCCCCAAATGAAAAAATATAAAAAAGAAACTGAAAAAGTCACAATCGACTGCATGCTGATCTTGACGATCTGCATCCACACTGCCACCAGCCCTGAGAAAATGAAACATCGTGTTACATTCTCAAAAACGAGATTCATCATGGACGTTTGTTTATACCATGTTTTCTGAATTATTCATCCATGACAGGGCACGTGAGGTCAAATTCCGGGAAATGGCCAGCATCGATATCCATCGGAAGGGTCTCCATGTTGTCCATCGATTGTGTCTTCCTTGGATGTTTGCGGGACACCCTTCATGGTTGGATATGGTTGGTGAGCTTTTTCCAAAACATATCTTGGAAAAGGGTCTGACTCTTTGAGCTGGATGACTTTGAATTGGGTGACTTGTAGGATCCTCCAGAACGTTTTTGCTTCTGGTGCTGTAAGATGATTTTGTGGACTTTCACTGCCTTAGATCGTTCACGGTGGCTTGGCTACAGTTTGACAAGCAGGTGGAACAAAAACACCACCAAAGTCATGGACAGGAACCTGCTCAAGAATCCATGCGTCCAGTTCTTCATCATTCCTCCCAAAACCTGGGAGAGTGGACATGAGTGGACTCGATTGAGTGGGTAAAGGGTATCACACTCGTTCAACCAAAACCATTGAACAACTGAGTTGGTAACGAAGTTTTTTTTTTTGCACCAGCTTCCGGACTGACTCGCGAACTTGCCCTTCTCGTGGAACCCTGATCAGTCCCGAGTCACACCATGCAGACCGCACCCAGCTGTTTCCACCAACCCGGATGTCTCCACCCGGCAAGAGCTCCAATTTCTGCTTTACTTGATCCCGATCAACACGACCAATCAATGCTTTTGACAAGATCCTTAGTAAGGAGTCTCCGGAGATCTCCCAAAAATACCTAGCTCTACCCAGCTGATCACCTGTCAAAGATTTCTATGAACCAAGGTTCTGAGCAGCATTTGTGAATGCTCTATCACGCTTCCCCATGGCCAAGTAAGCGAGGTGAAGATTGCCAGCCAACAGTACCATGTTCCCTGTTCTTTGTTCCGTATTGTCTATCCTTTGTGTTGCGTGGTTCTGTCTTGTTCCAATGGAAGTTGAGTGCTGGTTGGGAGATGGATTCACCACCCAAGCATGATGATCCTGCCCCTGAGCCTGCCTGGTAGGCATGCGAGCTTCGCAGTGGGCGCTCAGTGGCAAACACGCGACACACGATCGAAAACCCTGACATCTTATGGTTCAAACATCTAAAATCTAACAGGTTCTTTGTAGTCACAGTGCTTAAGAGGTCACTTCTGGGAACCCAGCGGAGGACGCTGGTATACACTATATAAGATGCAGGTTATCATGTCACCTTTGATTCCATCAAAACCTCTTTCACTTCTCTCGTTCATCCCGCTGGGTGGGCGGTCAACCAGGTGGGCGGTAGAAGTGGTCCGCGTCTAATCAGCGTCGATCCGCAGCTCAAACGTAGGACCCCCGCAGTCGTCGGCTGGGCGGTGCGTCCTCGACGAACTCAGCCTGGGCAGTGCGGCCGAGGACGCACTGAAACCATGTGGGATGTTGGGTGAGTGACCACAAGCTGAGCACTTGAAAAGTGTTTGCAGGGTTTTACATCATCTGGTGCAAAATACATACGCCAATGGCAAACTGACATAGTGCCGAAGTGATTGCTTCTCTGACTGGCCAAAACGCCATTACCACATTGTTTTGGAAGTTAAAGAGAAGCTGCAGCTCTGTAATAAATGTCAATAATCTATACATCAGTCGGGAGTGACATCTAGGACAAGGCATTTTATAGCTATTCACCACGGGGCTTCTACAACATCTCTAGCAATTGCAAGGTGCTCAGAGATGCTCAGAGCAAAGGTGCTAGGTATATACCTATAGAACCTGAATGACCACTGTTTTGGAGCCAAAGCATGATCAAACTTCCTATCAAAGCAGCGCTTCATGTCTGGGTTCATTCGGTAGATCCTCCGAATGGGTGGGCCTATCTGGAAAAAATAACGATAACGTCTACCGTCTATCCATGTCCCGCCCGATTTCTTGGACAGTCCGATTTTGGAGACCGTTGGGCAGATCCTGGGCGTACAGAGAAATGGTTACTGTTTGCAGACTCACACCTTCTTCATCTTCTTCTTCAAGCTGTGGCAAGCGCACCACAAAACACATCAAAACACATCAAATGTCTAAAGAGTCTAAAACGACAAGCCACTCTCGAGGTTCTCGGTAATTCTCCATAGAATATAGAACAACCCTAACAAATTGATTAAGCAATCCTTCAAACATCTTCAAACTTATTGTACTTCTATAAAATGGCAGGGTCTCATTACAGCCACATCTCACAATGCTGATTTTTGTTTGTAGAAATTGCATTGGCACTCTGAACTCTTCAGAACTCAAAAACATACACTGCTATAGAATGACCAAGGATTGTATAGAGTGTTTCTTCTGAGGATTGTTGGTTTACGTGTATATATATAACTTTATATCATGTTCTGCGTTCATTGTCTGTTTGCTCGTGCTTCACAACGGTTGGTGTCTGTTTTGCCGTATCCATTGCCTGTAACACCTGCTATCCATCGGCCGGTGAGGCGTCCGTGACTTGAGCGTCTCGAATGGACAAGTGGCTCGAAGTGTGATTCGGTGCTCCAGCCTTGGTGAGATCGGAATGCCAAACCGGGGCGAGCTGAGAGCTTGTGTGCTAATTCGTGAGAACCAACCAACCCAACCCAACGCAACAACCAACCAATGGTTTCTTAGCACCTTTTGTCATTTCTTACCTGAATTGACAGGGGAGACATCGCCTATGCCGACCAGGTCACCACTGAGACGGCCCCGCAGCATCGGATGGTCTTCAAACCGATTTCATGTTCATTGTATGTCCATCCCAAGTGGCATGACCTCGTTATGTGGGTCGTTTTAAACGAAAGACCTCGCGTGGTTCCCCATGGTTCCCCATGGCAGTAATTGAGTGTGTATTGAAAATAGGGAGGCCTCCAAGTTCGACCCCCTGGAAGACGAGAAATAGACCAAAACACATTGGTTGGGGGGTCACCACAAAGTACACTTTAGTGGCGATATATTTAGTCTTCCTATGCCAATACACCAATCGAACTGACACACCTACGGCATGCCATGCCGCTTTTGGGTCCTCAAACTTCAGATCCCAAAGACGGAAAACTGTCCACCAGTCGGAAGCAACACATCTCTGGGGTCCAGTTTGGGAGGTGGTTAATTTCATTTAGATCTCCATCAAACAAACGCCCACACACCATCACACAGCCCAAACAAACCTCCCGCATACTCCAGGCAGGCACTTGATACAGGCACCCACTGTTCCCTTGCTTCATCCAAGAAGCCAAAGATTTGAGAGCTCATCTGCAGGGACCTCCTGAATTCGGGACACAAACCACCCTCCTTCTGTCGCGAAACGACCCTGCAATGCACTTACTCACCAAACATCTACTCTGCGTGCCGGTTAGAATCAGAACGCACAGCCTCATTCGAACCAATGGCCTGCCCCCCGGTTGCACAAACAAACAACTTAACTGGACGGAACCGATCCTTTGTTAAGCATGATGACCCTATATACAGTACATATCCACTGGTCCGGCCTCTTAACAGCCCCATGTGGGACAGACGTGTACGAACGACAAGAGTTCGTCAGCGTTCCTAACCTGATGACCTACTGTTGGCATAAACGACCATCTAAACTCCCCACACATTCTGTGGCAGACTTGTTGCCCCTCATTCAGTCCACGCCCGGCCGCGCATTTTTTCCTTACTGGCTTCCCACCTGTCCACCTGGTGTTGCACCTGGGTGGCAGGAATCTGTGTGTTTGGACGCGTGCCACTTAGATCATACCAGCCCTCTTCTCTCCCTGAAACGCACAACTCCTGGCCTTCCCATCTTGCCGCAGAAGCATCCATCCAGGTTCATCCTTGCAACGCCGCTGGTTGGTAGGCCATAGGAATTTTGTGGGCTCAACAGACTTCTGTCTAAAAGTTAGGTAGGGGGTCCAAAGATTTTGTTCGCCCTTGTGTCAGGCCAATCACATAAATCACATGGACCCTTTTTGGCCAATCACATGGACCTGGAGATGGGATCCAACATCTTGCCTGCTCCTACTTTTGCCAAGGCTCTCATCACTGATGAGACACCCTTCCCCACAGGTGTTTTCACGATCCCGGGACACGAATGACCTTCCCAAAAGGCCATACAATATGTCAAATCCCTGCTTACGTACTACAAAGCAAATGATTTCAAGCATACTTGATGCCGTCTATAGTCTATAATATATCTTGGTCTCTTAACATGAGCCTACCACCATGTAATTACGACATGAATATGATGGTCTTTGGATGTGGATGTGCGCGACGCATCTGATGCAAGACCGTACAAACTGCGCAACCCAAGAACAATGAGCTCACCCCATCCCAATGAAGGACTATAAGTTAATTCTAGGGGACTGTGAATATCTTGATTCACCACCGAATTTCCCACTCTTCAAGGCTTTCCCACGTTGCGTCTGTGTTCTTCACTTCTCGGCTCCCTCGCCTGTGTCACGGCTGCGACGTTGGTGAGGGGCAAGTGGAGGAAGGGCGAGGAAGAGCCTCGGTGTTCGGCACACATGAAATGTGCCTGGAACCCCAAAGGAACAACGGACAAAAGAGCAAAACATCGCAAAAGCGTAATTGTGAACAAATCAAAAACCTTGCAAAAGAAAACGGCGGAAGTGATACACACTTCCAGCATGGAATCTCAGGAGACTGCAGGGTTTCCCCGGTATCTCACACGCACGTGCAGTATATAGCTACTTGCACCCAAAGGAGCCTCCAAAAGAACAAAACAGATCTGATCTACTGATCTACTAGATGTTTACCGGTCTACCATCATGTCAAAATGCTAAGCGGCCTGAGGGTAGTAGAAGTCATCGTGTAGATACTGTAGACACCTGGATGAAGTTCTCATGTATTGAACTGTTTCAGGTGTAGATTGCACACACCCAAAAATGTCTTTTATATGGGGGTCCAATGAGGTCCACATAAACAATCTGTTGGGGATTGGGCCATCTACTGGGAGTCGTCCGGATGGATGTCTTTCCTCCCAGACACTAGGGTCCGTCATGAGGCTCTCGACATCTCCTGAAAAGGACGGCGTGGCGGTCAGGAGAGCGAAAAACACCGGTGTCCATTGGAACAAAATGGTGTCAAGACCCTACTGTAGCGGCATGTAGTGGCAAATTCAACTTGTTGCAAATGTGTAGCCATGTGTAGCCACCATAAACCACTAGTAGGGGCCTGGCTGACTTGTGGGATGAACAAAAGATGTGTTCGACACAACTAGCAGCAACTGGCGCACCATCATATATGCGGAAGAACTCTCCTGCAGCTCAGTAGCTCACACAGAAAGGGACATCATAAGAACATCCATGATGTGTTCAAGGGCCTTCTGTATAGCGACACGACCAATGTCTCAAGCAGTTGGTTTGTCTCAAGTCGCGTTGGCTCAAGCAGCTTGGTTTGTGCCAACGTTGTGTTCTTCTGGTTTGTCTCAAGCGGCACCGGAAAAGCCCTTCCAACTCTGTGGTCTGGCACCTCCCGCCAAGGGGCCCACAGGGACGGGTGGGTGATCCTGGACAAAATGGTCTGCTGATACGGTTCGATTTCAGAATTTTATCCGGTGAGAAATGGATGAATATGGTCCCAGCCTCTGCCAATACTACTGTGGTCTAGTCCGAATCAGCCGATGATTCTCAGTGCTACCCTCGCCCAAGCGACCACACCCGCGCCCAAGCGACCGGTAGAGACGCAAAGGAAGAAGAGTTCTCCGGCTTCCAGGGTGGGCCACCTGAGCTCTGGGTGACCTACCTGGTGTGGGTCCGTCATGGTTTTCCTGGCGGACCGAGCCATCCCCACCTGGGTTGGATGCAAGGCAAGCACTTGGAAGAACTCCTGGCAACCCAGAGTTGCTACCTATACCAGGACCTTCCAAGAGGTGTCTGAAGATGGCCTCCTAGAGATGAAGGAGTCTTCAAAAACCACTTTTTGGAAGGTCCTGGTAGTGTTCAATAGGACACCATGCATTGGTGGGGCATATTGGTCCCTCACCATGGCCCGTTTGGGATTCTTCCTGTTGCAAATGAACGAACGCTTTCGCGCGGTGCGAATACGGGGTGAAACAAAGGCCGTCAGGGTGTCTTAATGCACATCAAGTTTTGAAGCCTGCGTGTTGAGAATGTTGGAAGCGCGATGCTATGCGATGATGCATTCTGACTTCACAAAGGTGAGGTAATGCTGCTTGATGTGAGGGGTTGCCAGTTGGGCGTTGTAAATGTTGCACGACATGTTACGACATGTTGACTTGACATGTTATAATTCTAATCCTGAAGACCTCGGATGCAGCTCGTCTTGTGGAGGTGTCATACTGCCGGCAACAGTCGCTGCATTGCAACCGCTGCTTCTTCCGACTGACTCGACACGCTAGTCCCCAAATTTGATCGTTTGAAGGATTTAACTCAAAGGACAAACTCGCCTGCTCTGTCAAAGGAAGGAACCAAACAACCTCATTCATATGACTTGTGTGTACAATATGCAGTGAGTCACTGAGTAGGTCTCCTAAAGACTGCATGGTTTTCCATGTTTCTGCATCAACCCTCCCTAGTTGGGCTAGGTCGTGACCGCCTTCTGCATCAACCATGCCAAGCCACCCAGAGAGGTGAAAGCGGTGGACTCCTGCGGGCGTGGAACCTGGAAAAAAAACGGGGAACCGGGATGGTGAACCGGATGGGAGCTGGGTAAAGCTGATGGATACCCATTCCTGCAGGGATCCATCCCAGGCATCCAAAGAAGACTGTGAACCCCTCAAAGGTCCCGGTAGAGCTGACAAACCAACATTCACGGCGTGACCCCTCTGTCCAAGAAAATTGCGGTAGCCAATGAGGAGGTCAAGGTGAATCCAGAAAGCATGAAACCATTCCGGATCCACATACCCTCTGAGAAGGTGATTGGACTCTCTTGGAGGCTCCAAGTACTTTCTGAGAAGATCCGAGAAGGTATGTGGATCCCGAACGCGGATTTGCCCTCAGAATCCGAGCCCGAACCCACGGAAAGGGATTGGTTGCTTCGGGTCTGGACCACTGCTCGCCGGGTTCGGACCGGCTGTCATGTTTGGCACAGATTTTATGCCCATGTTTCGGCCAGTGACCTCGCTGGTCCTATAGAACATCCTCCAAAACATCGCAGAAAAACACACAAACAAACACACACGACACATGACACATTTTTCAATAGCACCCTTTGGCTGCAAACTTGAGGACCACCCGGGTCGGTCCGTCCGAACCGGGCGAAGGGTGCGATCGTCGAAGTGGTCCTGGGTCGGTCACTCCAAGCGAAGGCGAGGTCACTGCTGTACCCAAGGACGCCATTCGCTGGGTGTCACGGCCAGTCAATGTCACGGATCTGGCGGGTGAGGAGTGGAGGAGGTGATGTCAGGGTGAGGGTGAGTGATTGCATGAAGCGCGAGTTTACGCGAACCCATATGTGTTCCTGGAGAAAAAACATTGAACATATCATGTACGTTGTCTATACGTATTCAAACAAAAACATCACAATAAGTTGGAATTGAAATTGGTTGACTCAGCCAAAGCTTCCTGGCAACACCAAAAGAAATAGGTCGATCAAAACTTTTGCAGGTTGCGTTAGTGTCTTTGTTGTCAATGTCTAACTTTTCTAGAACCTTCAGCAATTGAGGGAACACCATCTATATGTTTTGTCGCATTGAATACAGGAGGCCACCACCATCTCTTCAAACAACGTGAACAATATCTTCATTCCTTGTGCTACGCTCTTGCAACATACGTACAATCATTCACCATGCGTCGCTCAAATCAGGGTGGACACTCCAGCACTAAGCACCTATTCTTTGCGAAGGCAATCACCCACTCTACCCTTTGTGGTTGGCCCCTCCACCTGCGGGGGGGCGGGGGGGTTGCCGGCGGCAGCGGCTGCGCCTAATTCCGATCTTGTCCACCAAAGTAAAAAGCGTGGCCACTGAGGGCTTTCCCCGGAAGGGTGCTCGTAGCTGCAAGCAGGCCTGTAGGAGGGGAAGGCGGAAGTGGTCATTTGGAACACGTGCAAATGTCCATTCACTTGGTGCTTCACACCTGGATCAGTTGAAGCACATTACGTTCCATGCCCTGTGTAAATAGAATATACTATAGATATATCCTGTATCATATAAACGAATCTGTCTCAAAGTGCTTGATCTGCTTTGAGGAAAATGGACCTCAAGCTCAGCTTCATGAGTTTCGCCCTTCTTTTCTGTCACGGCCTATAACGATAAATGTCACTGCTTTGCAAGTTTGATGATCCATGTCCTCGTCGTCAATGCTGCTAGCCAAGTCCACGGAGTTGGATAGAAGAACATGATACGAAACTACGATGCACCATGAATAACAACATGTAACATATATATGAATGCACAAGCTTGGACATGGCCTTGTTTCGGGAGCTGGGAAACATGGTAAAATCCTCCACACACAGAAGAGATACCCGGGCAGCCCGGGACATATATATGAAAGACCCGACAGGATCAGAGCCATGGATCAGAGCTGGGGCACGACTTGTTCATGGTTTGCTGGAGAAACAAACCACACAACATCCGGCGATTCAATAGGTCGAATTCACCCAAGTTCCAAATCCATTGAGCCTCAAGATGATTCAATCTGAACCCTTCTCATGAAGCAAGCAGGCCTTAAGCCGTGCTCAGGTTCAACCCTCCATGGATTCTGGATCCCAAGGTCAGAATTGGGCGAAGTCTTTACCAAACATATCATCCTTTGCTTCGCAGCTCATTCGTGTTGGAGAGGCACCCAAGACATTTCCGCCATTCCCCTGGCTTGCTTGGCAGGTCAACGATTAATTACAACCAGCCAAATCCAGCCAAAATATGATAGGAAAATCAGTGATTTTTCGTTCTCCTACAAATAAACCCGATGCTTCAACCCCGACCCCCACGTGGAAATCTTGGAGACTTCTGTGTTGCCGCCTGACTCCTTCCAACCCCCCTAAACTAGAGTCTCAACCTTCCTCAACCGATTTTGAAGAATGATCCGACCCCGACAGCTTCAATGAACACCTGCTGCCCTGACCTACCACCCCAACCCCCCCAAGACTCGTGGTGAGACCACATCTCCTTCCATCCGGTGCGCATGCACCGATGTACTGGGGGAACATGGGGGAACATGGTGAGCCCCCTTCGGAGCGTCGCCTCTTGGTTTGGCTGAAGCTTCATGGTCTTGGTCTCCAGGATGGGCGATTCATAGGACCAGCCCACGTAGGCGCGCCGGAGCTGGCCTGGTCGAAAGGGATGAGAGCTAAAGTTGGTTGAAGGCATGGTTGGGACTGTTCTGTTTTGACTCAACCGATTGAAGGTGGATTGAATATTAAATCCATGAAATCTCTTGGTTTCTGTGATCAAACTCTTGGTTCAAGTCATTCGACTCTTGGGACAAATCAAAGGAACGGTTGACCCGCTGTCATCCATCCCAAGCACTCCTAAACCACCCCTGGCCTGATCGGTAAATATCGCAGTCCCATTGGTCATGTTTGGGTGAGTATGTTATCTCCAATGCTTCAATGCTTAATTTTAGAGGCCTGCCTTCATTTTGGGTTATGATGCGTGGAGGCTCTGTGGTTGAACTCCGAAAAAGTCAGTGGAGCCCCAGGGAATTTGACGTAGAGCGTGAGGGTTCGTTTGGTTGTCAGCCACCACCTCCGCCAATATTCAAAGTCCAAAAAAGTAACAAGAGCAGTCTCCCTGTTCAACAAGGGCTGGTGCTTAGTACTTAAGAAGGGAACGCTCCTCCATGCTCCTCCACATGCCGATTCCTTGGCATCCAGCTGCCCATCTCCTAGTTGCACCATGTTGCACCGTGTTGCACTATAGTACACATCTTTACCTTCTGAACCTCTTGCCTTCCTCACTCAGAACCACAGCACTCCACACGATGGGTCGGCCTTTGCTCCATGTCGCCGACCAGGCTCCACGGCGCGTCCTTTGGGGGCCAAGGTCATCTGGGAGTCTTGTCTGACCATCGAGTACACTGAGGAGTTGACCTCTCCAAATGTCGGAATGAGGGACTCCTCTTTAGAGTCCGTTTTGTGATCCTTTATAGGGTTAAGTGACCTCAAACCAAGGGGTCAAAAATGGTCAGAAGGTCACTTAAAGAACCAGGGGGTCTGATGTGAAAGAGCACTGTAAAGGCCAAAATGTATATTGCACTTGGGAGAAGGCAGCTGGAATGAGATTCCTGTACGCACTGAAGTCATCCTGGAAAGCTTAAGTGTTTGTTCTTTCTTCTCTTCCGTGTTCATGGATGGATTCAACATCAATATGGATTCCAGGACAGTCTTGATAATGGTTCGAGAAAGAAACGACCAAAAGCTAGCATCAAGTCAAGTAGTGTCAAGCGCAAGACAGCCCAGCAAATTTAGGTACAAAACATAAGGCCCACATAGCTGCGAGTGGAACAATGTGGAACATATCCTGCAGGCGCCTCCCTTTTTATCCATTCCACGCTTTGTGACTTTCACGGGGATCAATGTGTAAAGTTGTAGAGGAATCAATATCAATGAACATAAGCCCATGCATTGCACTCTTAACCATGTGGACTCCGCCTCGTTTGTGGAGTATATATGCATGTACCCTCGACTTCCAAGACCAATGGTTGACCTGGTCGTGTAGTGCAAAATCTTTATGTAATAGAACAATATAGAACAATGGTTGTTCGGCAAGAACCATGAAATATCATTAAATCATTATTGTGTTCCGTTGTTCAGACGGCCCGACCACCCTCAAAGACACGCACAACGGAGGTCGTTTTAGTTTCGAGTGCTGCCATGATTCACGGAGGCCTTTTTAAGGCCCACATCTGCCTGGTGTGGTTGGCCGACATGATGAGCACCCAAGTGTCGAAACAATGGAGGCATTGGAACTGCACACCCTGATCAAAGTCAGTAACGACAGTAACATGTGACCTCGACAGCTGCGCGTCACGTGTTTCGATGCAAAGGACCACGGGGGAGGCTCATCCTGTTCGGGTCTGGTATGCTCTTGCGTCGACTGCTTTGGCCATGGTGAATGGGCCATATTGGGCCTGATTCTTCCAGGTCTCATTTCAACCTGAATCTTCATGAATGTTGTTCTTAATTCGATCTATGCTTACCCCTTCCGGTGGTTGACTCAGTGTAGAGGGCAACGGTGAAGTGGACACCCTCATTCTTTAACGGGTAGCGAGCTCGAGAGGCAGGCCCGTGTGCAGCAAAAAGTTCATTATTTGTGACCTGATTCGTGACCTGATTAGTCCCTGTTTGTGACCTTTTATAGTGTTCAGTCAGTGTTCAGCGACCTCAAACCAAGGGGTCAAAAGGTCACTTTTGAAGAACCAGGATAAAACAGTTGTCTTTACTGTAGTCGCGGCTTTCCATTGAAGACCCTTGTGTCGTGCCAAGCTTATGCAAAACACCTGGTGGGTTCGTCATGGCTGAAATCGAGCAGGCAAACAGCATCTAAAATAGCATATTATGTCAAAAGTGGCAACACATTGAAACACAATGCACCAATCCTGGCGGATTGAACATCTGCTTACTAGTAGTAACAAGAAGCTATTAGAATTAAACTCAAATTAAGTTAAATTAATGCCCTTGTTGGTACTAGTATCGATGCACTTGCTATTGGACACAGGGTGCTTTGTTAGGCTGAAAGTTAAGACCATGTTCCCTCCTTTGGTGGAATCGATGCACCTCTATGAGCAGTACACTGGAATCGCTCGAGTTCTTTTGGCCTCGAAGCCATCGGGGTACTGCACCACCACGGGCACGCCAGCACTCCCCATGGTTCCAGCAGGGATGCTGTAGACGAAGGTGCTTCCGTAGAGCGACTGGCAGTGTTTCAAGCGACGGACAGCGTCTTTCGTTGGACGCATGTGGGAACGAAGGCTACATATGAGCTGTTGGGAACTCAGCTACATGTGGGAACGCAGCCACTCAGCCACATGTGGGAACTCCACCATCCACATGCGTCCGCACAAAGCTCCCTGCCAAACTACTTGAAACACATGGTGATGGAGTCACCGCGTCACGTGGCGCCAAAAAACGTCCAACGTGGCGTCATCCCAACGTGTTCGATCGCAAAAGAGCACGAAGTGCCATGGAAACGTGTCCAAGTTCCAATCTCTGGCTCTTGCTTAGGTCTAAAGCTTTTCGTTTCGGACGAAAAGCAAACTATCCCTTGCCACCCACGGAGCCAATCCAACGCTACTTCGATCACTACACAAGAGAGTATGCAGAAGTCCCGCCACCTTATAAGACCTTCCTTTATCTTAATATTCCCAATCCAAACTCTCCATAATTAGGATGGTGAGTCATTTTCAGAGGTCTTCCCAAGGAACCGCTGAAAACTCGCCGTGCAAAGCACCTCAGAAACGACACTCTCCCAAATTGAACCCTAAAGCCCGGCTGACATGGCCTCAGTCTGATTGAAGACAACCTGTGACAGGTGGATTCTGGATCATGGCAAAAAAAAGTCCTCAAACTATACTTTCTACCTCAGGAAACAACATGATGATAGAATTGTAACATAAATAAACCATAATAACACATAATAACACCATCTGAGAATGAAGGCAGTTGTAGTTTCGTTCTTTGAAGGTTGGCAACAGTAGTATACTGGATTTCGAGGAATGTAGCTTTTCTGGAAGTCTGTGAGTCATGGCCTGAGAGAGATATATCTCAGTGTCCGTGGCCTGGGGTGCCGGATCCAAGAACAAAAGCCCTGGCCAAGACATGGGGTGCCCAACAAGAGTCCAATTGTGTCCAATTCAAGCAGTTCTTTATGTCAAAGAACAAGTTGGTCAAGGACGAGCGCGCATGTGGAGGGCCTGGCCCCGACTTGGATGGACTCCGAAGACCAGTCCCAGGTGCGGAACTGCGGAGTGGACTGCACGGCCACGCGTGTCTTTCAGGGATACCCTTCGTCCTTCGTGCGTGGTATCCTTTTTGCAAGGACGAAGGCTTGGGGGGGCTTCGCGTCTGTGCGGTAGGCCCCGGTAGGCGTACATGTCCCGGTAGTGTATTTCTCGTAAATGGCTATCTCATGATGAACTAAATATCCAACCGGGCAAGGAGTTTAAGGAAGGCAGCAAACATAATCTCTCTATAACTATGCCTTCTCTAGTCCCAGATTCAAAATGTAAACAAATTGAATCAAATTGACAAATGCCCTGTCCTGAATCCCAAACAAAGTCAAATTAAGAAAACGCCGCCTCAGGACTCACCGCATATCACCGCATACACATCTCACCCGGTGCCACCCCGTCCAGGGTGCCTGGCCATTGGACTTCACCTCCAAATCCTTCAGCCAAAAGCCGCTCATCACCGTGCCGCTGTCGCTGGCAAAGACCACCTGGCGGTCGGGTGATCGGCCCGGCCAGGTGGTAAACACACCTCGAAACAAGCCAAACCACAGGTGAAACGAGCCAAACCACAGGGATAAGGTTTCATAGTGATTGTGCTAGTATATATTGTGCATGTTCTATTTAGCCGAGAATGAGGAAGCACCTCGAAACACATCGACAATAGGTTTGCTTCTTTACAGATCGGAATTTGTGTTATACACTTTTGGGGGAGCGATGGAAGCTTGTGACGACGTGCTTCTTTATCTGGCAACACACCTGTGGTGTCAACCTGGATGAGGTCAAAATTCTCAAGTGTTATAGTATACTATACCGTATTAACATAATATGTCATCATATAGTGCTATAACATACCAGGACATACCAGGACCATCCAGTCTGGGTGTCCTGGCTGGACTACCCTACACTTCTTAGAGGTGTCCAGCCACACCCATTGGGTGGTCCAGACCTCTCCAGTCCTCTGTCCATGGCATAATGACGGTGTGATTTCCAGCATCCGACCAAAGCCACAAGCATGGCACAACCATGGCATCATCCGCGCAACACATGGGTGATGTAGTTACTCATCTCCTTTGAACCTTTGAACACAGCGGTCGAACAAAAGAAGCGCCTCGACGCGCGCATATTCTCCTGCGGCGGCACGGTGGGATAGGCGGATCACGGATCTGGTGTCGGATGGGTGGGCAGGTGATCCTTCTGTTCCGACTCCAGTGGGATTGGCATATGATCGTTTTTGGTGAGGACCATATCGTTTTCCACAGAAACAAAGCCCTCAACATAGGTTTAGGGTCATGCCGTGACTAAATAAGTGAACCAATAATTTTGTCCATATCTTGTTTTGGAGTGTTTTCGGGTCGCAAGGCTTCAAGGAAACTCGGGCAAGGCACCCATCCGAAAGCGCCAAGCACGGAACACGACGAGGTCGACCCGAGCTACGCCACGAACGCCGTGGTGAACCGCCACGCCGCTGATGGACCATGCGCTTAGAGCCTGCGAACGTGAACTGAGAGCATCTGACCCTGCGTAGAAAGGAGCCGTTGCTCACCACGTTGCACCCTCACATACGGTATGCATCGTTTTCTGGTCCATGACTTTCATCCAAGCAGTCGTGAATCCAAGCAACACGTCGAAGCGGCAAAGCCAATAAATGGATCAACTCTCATGGCTTTCGAAGCATTGTGCAAGGTGAGAAACCAATCTATAGTTGTTTTTTTTCCCATTCTCTGGCTCCCCGCCTGCGTGCGTAGATCACCTATAAAAATCTCACAAATCAGCAATCACACCTCCGAACTAAAGCTGGCCCAACCTTGCCCAACAACGCTGAAAAAAGCCCATTTCAAAGCACCCCCTTTTCAAGCCACGTCCATCAATTTTGTCCTGCGAACTTCTCCAAGGAAAAGTTCTGCACGGCAAATCCATCATGTGGACTGGAGCCTCCCGAGCGGCGCTGTTTCGGCTCCGACGCCGAAACCGTGACCCGGCCGACGGGTGAGGTCCGCCCTGCCGACGTGCCGATATGGAAGGTCCGGACACGGCGACGTGCCGAATTTGTTTGGAGGTAGATATATATAATGTAGATCTGTAGATTCTTGATTGATATTTCCCTCCCCGCCATTTGCAGTTTAAACACCTGTTTAATGGGGATAATTATGGAATATGTGTTCATCCAAGAGTCTACAGAATGTATGCGGATTGTCGATATCAATGCCTTTTTCGCCTCAGGTGAGGGAGTGGTCCTAGGAGTGGTCCTGATCAGGGTGGAGTTTGACTGATCCGTGCTGTCTTTTGCTTTCTTTTCTTTGCCAAGATGTGGAGCATGTAGGGTGTCCATCCGGGTTGACCACCGGGCATCCCTGTGTCGGACTTAAATAGCACCACAATTCGGTTTGAACTGAAAGGGAGCAATCCGTTCCAACCGGGGAAAAAGGACTTGAAACAATAGTCATGTCATACATCATATTGTCCATCTTGAAGATCATGCACGCAAATCACGCTGAAACACGTTCGTGACAATCAACATGCTGCTCACCTTTGATTCATGATGATTCATGTATTGCCTGGCAAACTGCTTAGTTCTGCACAAACAAGTACATACCTTTGTCAGCATATGTCAGTATCATGCTGCTTTCTGAGTCAAAATGTTGTGCATGGATCTGGAAACTTCCACTCGGAAAGCCCTGAATCTTCAACTTCCACCTTGGTGATGGAGTACCGTCGAACGAGGAAGACGGGACAACTCGTATATCCATCGGCAAAGGAACTAGAAAGAAGGATGGAAAAGGGCAAGGAAGGTTCTGCGGGCATCTTTGCAGGATTTTGCAGGCATCTTTCCTTGGTATGATGCCATTGGCATTCCCGAGTTTTAGGTTAAAATTTAACATCGTCCAAGGCAACTTTCTAACTCAAGGTTCGATCAGCAACTGCAAACTTCAGCTGAAGTTCACGAAGCTCAAAGTTCAGCCCGACATCAGACCAAACCGCAAAATGATGACTGGAAGAGTAATGGACATAATTGGACATTCATTATAAGTAAGCCCTCTTCAGCAACTGTGTAGTTTGGTTGTAACATGGCCGACGCCCGTCGCCTGTCCATCCATCCAAACTCTTGCAATCCTTCGCGTAGCTCTTGGTGTATGGCGCTCGGATGCCCACATTGCCTAAAGCAGCCTGAGTAGCTGTGCCATGAAAACAACCACCAAAAGCGGGTTCTTTGGTGAGCTGCCATTGCTATGTCTTATCCTCGTAGTTTCTTGTGCATTGCCTTTTAGACAGAGACCTCAAAAGGTTAGGAATTAATTAAATCCTAACGAAAATTATTACTACTGTAGTCCTCAATAATTCAAATTATTCGATAATATTATCGTTCCACTCTACGCTCCTCAGGTAGAAAAAGAAGAAAAGAAGAAGAAATCAAACGCCCTTTGTTGGGTATAAAGTTCATAAAGGCCTTTCTCAAAAAGAGCAGTGATCATATTTCAACGACTCTTACCCCCCTATAGACCTGTGGTTTAGTGATCGCCCATGTTCCACTTCAAGACATTGAAAGCGGGGGACGCGTTTAGTGGTTGTGAACTTGGTGTTGTCATACTTCTCCGTTTGCAGCGTTCACAATGCGATGTGGATCTGTCCATGGTCTGCGTGTGGTCTTTAAAGAACTGTTCAGAGATATGAGGGTGACCCTCTACCAACTCCTAGGCTACCTGACATGTACGTTCGTCAATGTTTATCATTTACACATTCTCATTGTGAATTATACTTCCCAAATGTGATTTATACAGCACTCCGGTGCTAACACTCCTCACCGCTCCAGTGATGATGTGATGGCATCCCACCGTCCCCATCCCAGTAACGATGACATGATGGCTGCGATTGTCATAGCCACCGTGCGGCTCCAAAACCACCACCTCATCCGCTGCAATCTTCAAGGTGGGCGGTCAAGTCTTTGAAGCAAGAAGGTCAAGGGTGTGTGCTCAAAAAATAGGGGGACCTCCAAGTTCAACCCCGTGGAAGAAGGAACGTAGACCTAAATCCTTGCCACACCCAAATGGTGTCTGGAGAAGCTTATGCTTGGATTTCAGGATCTCATCCAGGAGAAGCGCCAAAATCAGGTCATCCAGTCGCAGTTTGTGGTGACAGCATGAATGTGTGCTCTGGGAAAGGCTGAGGCTGAATTATGAAATAGATTCTGCACTCCGCAAATGAGTAGTTAGAGTAGATCATTGTGAGCAAGGCTTCTGAGAAGATCCATCAGTTCACTCGCACCAGCCGTGGCACCTGCTCGCCATGCGAGTGTGCATCAGCCGTGGGATCCGAATAGACGTGCAAGCGCACCTGGCTGCAACCGCGGCACGTGGCTCTGCACATGGCTCTGACTCCGCCGGTACGCCCCATCCCTCCGCGACCGGAGTCGCTCCCAAGCCGGTGTCGATCGGAAAGGAAACAACACTTAGACTAACACTTAGTAACCGAACGGTCCACCTCTCAAACACTGTCCTTCTTTCCACCTGAAGAATCAGATCCAGGGGATGATTTCATCACTGTTCTTCTTTCCCTCGGGTCGGTGGTCGGCACTTCCTGGTTGGCATTCTGCCCCAGGTCACGGAGGTGCGAGCCGCTCGCTGCGCACGAAGCTGGGAGAGGAAGGTCTCTCTTTCCAAGAAGACCGTTGACACCGTGGACAGGAAGAGGGAAGGCATTTGGCTCTGGGGACTTCAAGCATCGTCCCACTCCCTAGGTGTTCATCATGGAAGTGTATGACACCCATGAAAACCCTCTGATTGTGGAACATCGTCGTCCAAAGCATGCCATCCACTTCCATGATGATTCCAGGGAGTGTACCCAAAACAATGAAAAGGTCGTCGATTGATCATGGTACATCGATAGCTGTCGAACTCCTGAGAACGTCCACATCCTTCAAAGTGGTTCATCCACGTCAATGTCTGTGTCCACAAATGATCCTGTTAACTCTAAGTGCACATGGGCTGCAAACAGAATCAACTAAGCCAATGAACACCCTTCGTCCCAATCAACTAAGCTGACAGTCTTTGTGGAAACACCTCGGATTCGGGTAGGTCATGACTTTAGACGCCTGAACTCATTCTGTTTGCACGCCTGAACGCCATCCCAACCATCGATCTCGCAACCGTTCTCGGTTTTGGAGAAGAAGCCACCATCCTTGGCTACACTGCAGGTCAATACACAGTGTTCGGCTCTTTTGTTCAGCTAATTGTTGCTTTGCATGGATCAAAGACAAAGGAATTCTTGGTAGACTGGAGGTGAATCGCCATCATCTAAACTGGAAGATGCTTCTGTCTGGGGCACGTCATCGAGGTGCGAAGATCCCGACTCGACCAGCTTCTCTCTTCAGTCTCAGAAGCCATCCCGATCCCACATGCGGTTGAACTGTATCGATATGTCCCTGGCCCACATCCCCAAAATGCGAAGGTGGATACCTCACAAAGTCCACCCAACATGTCGCTTCCTGTATCCTTCCGGGTCCTCCCCGCTGTCGGAACGCCCGAAGTCAAGTCTCAACGCCTTCCAACTGCCACCATGCTTGGAAGCTCAGCGTGAGGTTCTTGGCCTGGCTCGATGGGACAACTCGGGCGGAGCGATCTGCCCTCCAAGCTGCAATGAAATCACAAAGAACAGACCTGCAAAAAGGGAGCCAACATTCATACTAAATGTGACGCAAAGGTCATTGATAATCATGGATCTTGGTCAAATCAGAGACCCCAACTTTTAGAGATTGATCAAGGACTCATGTTCTGTTGATTGCCCCGGACCCGAAATTATGCTGCTTGACCTGGGCCTGGCACAACAAAGGCAAGACTTTCCCCAAAATGTGAGAAGTGCGTTCAAGAATGTGTTCCACAGCCTCTGCAGCCACTTGGCAACCCCATTGTTCGGGGTTTCCTTCATCCTCAAAGTCTCCTCCAGTCACTTCTATTCTATACTAACGAACTGACCAAGCCTCATCTGAATCCGATTACACATCCGCTGGCCTCTGGAAGCTTCAGCATGGGTGTGCGAAGGCCCTCGGCAGCCAGGCTTGGGTAGAAGCCATTCTTGCTGGTCGTCCAGGCCTAGCAGCAGCTGAGTGGACAGGTCGTTTGTCTGCCTCCTTCCTTCGCCTTTAGACTTAGCACACGTTTCAAAGGCACACAGATCAGACCTGCTGACCTCGCGCTGCCAAAAATCGATCCAAAAGCAAGATTCTCCCAGAAGACCTCCCCGCGCCTTGCCCACACATCCCGGCTGCAACTTCTCGCAAATGTCTTGATTCCACACGCTGCCCTGCGATTCCAAACGCTCGTCTCGGTCTCGGACGGTGTGCAAATAACGCGACTGTCTCGGTCTCGGAGGTGTAACGCAGCGTACAGAAGCCCACTACAAGTGACAAAAACCCTGAAAATGTCTAAGTTCTGTAAGGCTGTGTACTCTGTCGGTGACTGGCTGTGGTGTGGAAGATTTCCTTCCAGGGGTCATTTCGGCTGGTCACTTGACTTAGCGATTGTGGGGAGCACCTTTTAGGTCCAGTTGTGACCAGGTCATGGGGAGCTCTCTGGAGATCTTTGAGGAGAGCAAGTCCAGTGAATCAATCATCCGCTATGGCCAAGTGACGGAACCGATGAAACATCGTTTTTCGACGCATCGATCCAATTCCCAAAGTTTACACATGGGTCTCATATGGGTCTTGCAAGTTCACCCATAAAATTCACCAAGCACATGAGAACTCTGGATGCATTCGGATGCATCGCTAATCTCTTGAAGTATACTGCACAGTCGACCCGATGGGATGGGTAACCCTGACCCCAAACCTGAACCCAACGATAGAGAGCGTCACCGTCCTTGTCCGCTCGTGAGAGCGTCTCTCCTTCCGGATCCACGTTGACCTCGGTGGGAGTACCCAACTCCTAAACCCTGCGCTAGCGGCGGATGCCATGGTGGATGCCTTGATCTGTTCAGTTGGTCTTCCTATTTTGAGACGGACCACCACCACCTTAACGGGTTAGCGCATATATGATGGGAGGCCTGGCTGTTTACAAACAACCAACCACTAAATCAGAGTTCTTGAGTCTGTCTCGTGTTCCTTTTCACCCACTTATATAGTCTCATCTGCCAATTGATCCATATTTTTGGTCGACTCGTTGGAAGAGCGAATGTCTTGCCAACTTTATAAACACCGAGCTAGGACTTTTGCATACATTCATTTCACAAACATGGGGTTCGATCTAATTGGGTGATTCTGTTCATTAGACGCATACTTCTGGTCGTCGGGTCGTCTGAAAGAACCACCGCAGTTGGGCCGCCCAGCCATTTTGCCCCCCCAACAAACCACGTCCACGCACCAACAAATTTTGTGAACATGTACTGTATATTGAATCTATTTGATGCAAAACCCTCATCCCACCCATTCAATGGGAAGCTCTCGGCACCTGCACCACGAAGATCTCCCTTTCGCCCTGGAAGCTCCTCAGCGAGGAACCCTCATCGACCGAGCCAGGCCGAGGTTGCGAGGCTTGAATGTTTTTTGGATAGAAAACATATACAGGAGGCAGTCTATAAACCTCCCGAACTGGGTCAAGTACTGTGTGTTAATCGCTTTACTCCTTCGTGCTCCGTTTCCTTCTCCTCTCCCAAAAGGAGTCCAAGCGTCGCCGTCTCGCCGGGGCGGAGCTCCCGAACCTCGGCAGGGCCTCCGGCATGGCCTGGACGAGACCGGGGGCGCAGGAGCGGAAAGAGTCAGGCGCAGGAGCGGAAAGAGTCAAGTTTTACTGGAGTTGGTCACACGAAAACACATCAAAACAAGCAAGCAAAGCGAAGCAAACAACCTGGTTTGACTGGGTCTTTGGACTGGTGGGGAATCATCCGTCAGGTGGGGCCTCATGGCAGGGTGTGTGAACCTGGAAAAACATCATATATTGTCCCATTGAGTCCCAAAGAGTTTGTAGATCTGGAAGACATGAAGCCTTATGGATCACTCTTGATTCATAGATCTACCCTCCAGCGTCTCCACAAGGGGGGTGCAGTCCCCGCAGGATTCGAACCATCAACCGTCACGTCGATTACCCAAAAGCATCCAAAAGCCAATCAACGTTAACTGTGCTCTGAGGTCAGGTGAACATGACTCCGACTCTGAAGTCTCTCAGTGTTAAGGCCTGGCAAACACAGAAAAAAGGGACATGACCTTTCAAACAGGGTCAGCTGCTTTGTGTGGCCCAAGATTTAGCAGTCGATGTACTAGAGCGTGAGTAACGATCCAGTGCTTCGTCTGACAAAAGTCCGGATGCACATCTCATGAGCTTTCAGGAAGTTGTGCCATGTTTAAAGCATATAATAGTTGGCTCTGAGGCAAACCACTCTAGTAAACCGTGTTTGCAGGTGTCCTCCATCAATAAACAGCGCATCCATTAACGAACTCTCAACTAATCCATTAAATGCCTCCAAACTTAACACGTGTCACTTGTCCATCCCAAATTGGTCATCCCAAATACTGCCACATCGATTGTCGCCTGCTGCCAGCACCTTGGTCCGGAGTTGCCAATCCGCCGATGGGTCCACTTGCACCGTGGCGTCTGCAGCGAGGGCTAACCTCAGTGAGCTGGTTTAGCACCGAAGGCTACGAAGGCTCGAGCAATATCAATTCGAGTCAAGGGGGTATGGGAGTGGAGCTATGTGCATCGAATTGGAAGTGCCTCCTCTCCAATAGCTCAAAACGACTGACCGTGAAACATCGTACACATCGTCATAGGCCCCATCATAGGCTTCCTGGTTCTCTCGTGTCTACCTACCAAGTTCGTTCTCACTTGCAATGTAGACCCTGTGACACTTGGGCGCATCGGTGAATGGTGCTTTGGAGCTTTAAAATCATAAAGCGGCCCCATCCCGTCCCTTCCCAAACGGTCACAGGGTTCTTTTAACATCTTTTAACCACCACATTTCCAACAAACACTACCAAGAAAAAGACACGAGGTTTTCCCCCTGTTCAGGCGATTTCGGATGGTTTCTGTCTTTTCCTTTTTGACCACCCATCCCAACCGATCCCAACCGATCATCCGATGCTCCTTTCACCACGGGCGGCCGATAGATCCCCGCGCCGCCGTAGTGGAGCTCCAGCCCCTCGTGCTGCGCCGCGCCCTCGGTGGGGCCGAAGGTCCTGAGCAGTCACGTGAGCTCCGGGGTGCCGGGCTGCCGAACCGTTCGGAGGGAGGAACCGGGGAGGTGCCGGGCTGCCGAACACATCACATCATGCACTCACTGGATGGGAGGAAGCAAAACCACTCCATGTGACTCCTGGGTCTTTTTCCTTCGATCCAGAGAATTTAGAAGGCCTGCGGGCCTGGGGAAAGCCCAGGATGGCGATGAAGCAGGCGATGAAGCGGTTGAGCCAGTGGTTCCAAGACTCCATGGGAATGGATTAGCATACATCGATCCCGGGTGAAGCATCGCGCGCCCTTGGTAAGGGTTCTCGAACCGTGTTTTGGAACTGTGGGAGAAGAACAGAGATTGATACCCGACGATACAGGGCCTCTTGAACACTGGACACTGGATGGATCGGAAGTTGGCGGATAGACAACGATGCACAATGTTTTGTGAATAAAGGATGGAAGGTGATGGAAGCGTCTCAACGACATGTGTTTTGATTTATACAGTCATTCAAGTATAATTCTCGTGTATATATTGCTTCGTAATGAGCTTGGTGCATGCAATTAACAAACCGATTTACTACCTTGAACCCATCGGACAAGTCCGTGAACATAAAGGATACTGTGACAGGATTGAGTTTAGGGCTGTCTCAAAAGACAGGAAACCTATATGGAAACCTCCTATGCAGATAACCGTGCTGCAGCTAAAGGACATGTAGATGAGTTCACCCAATTGTCTAGAACATTCAATCCTTGTGGATCAGCGCAGCTGTTTTGATCCGAACAAACCATGTGGAAGGACACTGGCCTGGCTAGCTGCCTAGCCCTCACTCACCAGCAACTTTACACCAGCAAATGCCATCTCTTCTAGGTATACAGTATAACCTTTCCCCCACGTTACCCCTTCGCAAAACCATGTGGAACATGAGAATAATCTTTAAAACCCATCACTGTGGGTTCCTCCCCAAGGAATCTATGCAGTATAGTCTGAAAACAAAGTGTGTGTTGAGGTCCAAGAACCTCCACTTCCCACCAGTCAAACTCCCTCAGTCCCAATACGGGAATATGGTGGACCCCTCAAAAGTCAAAGCGTAGCAAACACTACTCACTACTCACATCCACTCACTATGTCCCATCCCATCTTACCATTATTCATCTACTTTCATCTACTTCCCCCCTAACCCTACTAATCCTGCATTGAACAATCACTCATGCCGCATGCCCAGTCCATGTCCCCAATTCCTCCCACCATCCCCATCCACCTTCCTCCCACCAATTGGTCTCAAAGAAAAGCCACGGGAAGCTCGTGCAGTCCCAGAAGGGTCGATCCCTCAAGTTCTCGGGCATCCAATACCTCCCCCACGGCGGAAGGCGGAAGGCGGAAGCTGAAGGCGTGGGGAGATGTGGGAAGTGCGGCACCAGACTGGAGGGGTGTCTCTTTGGGGCCGACTCGGAACAAGTATTGAAGAACACACGGAGAGACGGACTTTTGGCACAAATTACAAATTGGGAGCCTTTTGGGTCCTCTTACCCAGGAGTCCAGGAGTGATGTCTTTCAGGGACACTTGCCCTGGAGAGAACCGTGGTCTCGGGAGAAGGCAGACCTGCACAGCCCAGGGTGACTTCGGGTAGATCGCCAAGGACCCCCCAAGAGCTTTCTTTGGATTTATCGAATCGGGTAGTCATCTAGACAGTACCAGGATACCAGGACGCCACTCAGGACGCCCCAAGGAGTGTCTATCAATAGCCCCTTAGAGATGATTTGGGGTGTCCTTTCACCAGCCTGACCATGCGTCCTGGTGCAGCTTTCGGCATCCACTTGTCGATTGCGGATCATCACCCCGAAAAAAATTCTATACTTCAAGCTGCACTAAATGGTTGACTCCTGGGAATGTGAACCTGCTAAGGTTCTGGACTGTATAGCCGCAAACATCCGTAAGCCTGCTTCATCTTCCATCTTCGACGATCGGTCAACATCCTAAACATCTCCCAACCAACTGACCACATCGCATTTGGATGGCATTTGGGATAACATTCTCCACAGAAACCCGTTGAATCTCTCCATCCCACTCTCCATCCGGCAAACCCGCACCTGGGCTCCGTGGGCCGCTTGGACGCCTCGTTGATGCATTGCGCCGCCAGCGCCACGCGGAAGTTCAGCAGCACCTCGCCGTGCGGGTCGACGGCCGGAAGAGGTCCGCGGCCGAGGTTCCGGCTCGAAAGAGGGTCCCGGTGGGTTCGACGGAATGCGGCTCCGCCATTCTTGGGGTTTTCAGTGAGAAGAGAGACTTCAATAAGAATCAATAAAATAGTCAGTCGAAGAGGGGAAGTGGATGATAGTGGATGTGCATCCACAGCTGACTGGACGATGCAGATTTTGAAACGACTACAAACAGTACCTGTGATCATGAACTTGTTTCATGAGTTGACATCCATTTCACAGCGTGTACGACATGCATCGACATACCCAAATCATCCAACATGAGAGAATGGGCTAAGAATGGCTGTGTTTGAGAGCTGACTCCCTCAGTTTCCCTTAAAAAGAGCGGTTATTCCGCCTGTTCTTCTTCAGAGGGGAACGCATTTTCAAAAAAGTGTTGTATATAAATAGTTCAAGCATGTTAAACGGACGGTTAACATCCACTTTTCCTAGGTAGGCGTAGGAGAACAAGACCTCATGTGAATCACTCGTTCTCCTCACGAAGAGGCTCCCGTTCTGTCGCACGGTCAGCTCACATCGTCGCCTCGCCAAAGGGGTGTTCGACCGAGTTCACCTGGAGCGACGAGGAAGCGAAGCACGTGAATTGGGTGGTTCATTGAAGGCAAGATCAAGCGGCCACCGAAATTTCCCCCCCCAAAAAGGAACATACATTCCATCTTTGGTGGTGTGAATCGCTTGGTAAGTTTCTGCCACTTTGACTTCCAGAACTGCAGTGGATCAAGTATATCAGGGCATCGCTTGTTGATGAACATGGAAGTGATGGCTTCATTAGCCTCTTGGGTAATTTATAGAGACATACTGGTTGGACAACACATTGTTGCTGGATCCCATCTGCTTGGGCCTTTCCAGTGGCCTTGGCTGCACTCTTGGCCTGGTTACGTGGCGGTAATCGTCGACAAATACTAAATGTTAATCTGACAATGGATTGTATGCCTGATGGACATTTAGCCTGTGCAAACTTTTTGATTAACCTTGTCGAACAAGTTTCAGTTCCACTAGATGTTCATCTGCTCCGCATCCGCATCCAGGAAGATGCTCCCACAACTGCCCTTTTCGTCGCAAAAAGCAGCGGCCTCCAATTCGAGAGGGTCAAAGGCACCTGGCTGGTCCTTGCCCACGAATTGGAGGAAGTAATCCTCGGGGCGGGGGAATTGTTAAGGCCGATGACAAGATATATATGACAAGAGGTGTGGGAGGAACCCGGTCCCTCCGCCACAAAAACATACACCAAAAACAGTGCCTTGTGGGATATCTTGTGATCAGCCTAAATGGTGATTGGATGTGAGAAAGAACCTCAGGTGCTCTCACTATGTGTCCTGACAGTGCCTAATCAAACACTGGTTCAGGTCTCTCTTACTGTTACATGTTACATGTAACGTACGTCCCAAGAGCATCTCGTTCAAAGGCATGCCTTGCCCCAGGCCCGTAGAGCCTCTCCCGTCCTCCCGTCCTTCACCCCGTCCTCCCGGCCCAAGCGACGTAGGTCCTTCGTCCGAACGGGGCCAGGTCCTGTGCCGCCCGGTGCGCTCGGGTCGCCGTGGAAGCGCAAACTGGACGGTTCCCAACGCGGGGGTGTCCTAGATCCATACGATTTCATACGATGTCATGCACAAGTGCAGTGACCCCGACAGGAAGGTGCTGTTGTCTACTCACTAACAGGGAGGGAAAACCACCTATTGGTAGAGGAAAGTAGTCTTCCAAGAGACCATCTTCCACTTCCATTTTAGTGCGTCAGGGAGTCAGGGAGTATAAAATGTTCTTAGTAAGCCGGGCCTGTGTGACACACACCACAACTGTGCCACAACTGTGCCAGAGCTTCTAAACTGAGCTAGTGGAGTCCAAAAACGCACGCCTGCATCATGCTCCAACAAACCTGAGGCATCCACTACACATCTCTCCTACCCAGGAATCGGGACCACCAATGGAGACACTTTTGTGTGTGAAACCCATCCCTATGGCAGGCTTCATCCCCTGCGATGGCCCGAGAAAGTGATGAATTGGGCGGAAGGTCCCACGACCTTCCACACAAAACAACTGAGGCTAGCCCCTTTCCGGTGCATGAGCACACACAGGATCCACACTACGTCCTGATCCACATCCCTCTGTACCGATCGGCGGGTCCGGTGCCCCCGCTGCGCGGCCCCGACCTCGCTAAATGTCTCATAGTTCTGCAGCGCGCTGCTGCCACGATCTCCGAGGAGTGCCTCCTGTTTTCTGGAAGTTGTGGACGGCACGGGTGAGTCGCTGAGTGGCACAGGGAGATTACCCTTACCTGTAGGTCACCAGGGAAATCCCAGAAGAGAGTATCCGAGTATGTATGTGTGTGTACCTATGGTCAACGACTGTGCCATTGAAACTGTGGTTTTGCCACACAAAATCATATGAATATGGAGGAGACATCGTAATTGGATCTGTGGATTCCGGGGCTCTAAGGACTCGACTCACCTCAAAATCAATGGTGTGTGGTTCCAAGATGGCAGGACACCCAAACAAAGAGTTTCGATGTCTGTAATGATCTTTCTGAGGGTCAGGGTTCCAATAGGGTCCCCCAGATTGACCTGGCACATGACGTGGACGTGGGTGGACATTGGTCCGAAAGGCGCAATCCCGCCAATCCCAATCCACCACGTTGTGATTCACTGTCTGGAAATCCAAGCACTGTACCCCCATTGTTTTGGTCGGGAACTAATTACACGGAACATCTGCGTAAACACGCCTCGTATTCATAGCAACTCCCTCTTGCAACGACAGCCTACTAGGCCTATAGTGTGTGTTGCTCCTCCAAGGCGATTCAAAGCAAATTTCTTGCAATTTGGAACATAGATTGTAAACTAGATTGTCCTTCCAAGACTTGGGACCGTCTAAACCACCCATCCTATCCGGAACATGTCCTGGGACAAGTAGGTCAAAAGCATGGCATGGATCTGGTAGAACCTCGTAGGGCAGGAAAGAAAGGCGTCATGGCGCATCTATAAACAGCCCCTGTTCCAATATGAAGCGAGCATAAGCAAAGCAACATGAACGTTTAACATACTACAGTATCCTCTACCGGCCATGTCTTCATTGTCACACCAATTGTTTGTCAGTTAACTTCGTGAGCTGCTCAGTCGCTTGCTGTCGACTGGGCCAACAGGTAGACCCGGGATGGACCCAGCACTGTCTGGATCGGCCGAGGAGATAAGTACGACTCTGCAGGACAACCAACTCTTGGGGAGGGAGTCTATCGTCGGCTTCAAAGCCATAGCGACTCCCTCAGTTTCCCGGGGAAAAATTTGGTGAATGTTTATCCATCGGTTCTTACCACAAGCCAAGGAGCTTCGCATCGAAGACGCTGGATCGAATGCTAAGGTCGAGAGAACCAGGGTGAGGGCAACTGGCATCTGTCATTATATAGTTAGTACGGTGTGTCTGGTGTGTTCCTAATAACTACTCCCCCCGACCCCAAAAAAGAATACAGGGATGTTCAAGGTTCTCCACCTTTTCTGGATAGGCTACGTCCCATGATAACTTCGACTCTACCACTCAGCCTGCGCCTTACCTTCAACAAACCGACCTTCAGCGGCGACCCCTCGGTCGACCCCAAGCGACGAAGCACCCCGAGCTCCACCGTGGGGGACGGTTGGACCGAGCTCCCCCGCTTCCGCGCGTTGGTCTTCTTGCTCTGCGCGTAGATGTGTGCCGCATTGATGCGATTCCTGGAAGGAATGGAGGGAGGAGTCCCAAAGGTGGGGAGGGAGGGGTCCCGGAGGAGGAGGAGGTTCTCAGAGGTTTAGGGATGGTTTAGAGATGTTTACTTCTTGGAGATGGAGTTTGGAGATGGTTTCAACCTGTTTCAAAAGAAACAAAGATTCTGTTGCCAACCATCATTGTTGATTGAAACTCCTGAAGCGGCCGTTCACAATGTCATGTGGCTATCCCTCAAGAAGTCCATTCCTCAAAAAACACAAAAGAAATGCAGAACTCCCAAATGCAGTGGAGAGAGGTTGCAGCACTCCCAGGACCAGGACCATAGGTCATCAATATCGGATTTTCCATGCTTTGATCCTGCCTCAGATGAAGTACTTATTGTTCATTACACCCTCAAGACTCACTTTGCACTTCACGAGAAGCAAACTCTGACTGCTCCCACACTTTGAATGTCATTTACAGCCTGGTTGAACATCTTTATAAAGCCTTTTCGGCCAAGGTGTCCTGCAAAGCCACCATGATCCCCGACCTTCCGAACGACTCGACGTACCCGGACGGATCCACCGCTCCAGTCGCGAAAGCCCCATGCGTAGATCATGGGCCGCGGCGCCAAGTTCAAGAGGTTCCCTGCCCAAGGGCGGAGGCCGGCGGAGGCCAGACAACACCGAAGCAGTCGGAAGATCTCTTCCAGACTTCTCTTGAAGAATTTTCATGTTCTGTTCTGGGTGCGTTGCAGCTTTGGTGGATGTGGTGTGTAGGACCGATCCACCGAACCCCGCGGAGAGGACCGTGTTGTGCTTTACCGCGGGAGGACCGTGTTGCACCCGTTGTCCACTGGAAGTTCGCCTATCGTGGTCCCTGAAATAGATAGTTAAGCACTTTCCAACATATTCTTAGCAGGGATCTATATAATTTCAATATTAAATGTCTATCTGTTTGGGAATCTTTGGGGATCTATAATGCATGAAGAAGTGGAAGATGGAAGTGCTGGAACCCACCTGCAACTGGGTGAAACTTGGGCTTGAACAAAACATTTGTCAGGAATACTGTATACATCTGTATACTTGGTGTTGAAGCAAGTAGGATGCTGAAGCAAGGTTTCTTGGCCCCACTTCCTTGAGCAGGCGATGCGTCTTCCTGGTGAAGGACGAAACTCAACAAACCACTGGATGATATAGGATGAAACTGAAGAAACATCTTGTTTCTGGAACCTACCCCGGTGGATCCCCGTGGCGTCTATGAGCATTCCCCTGCCGTGGGTTCCTCACAAACCCATGGTGCCGGGGAACGCAGGAGCGTGAATGGGGCGGATCAGTGCGTCTTCAGCTGCACATCGCACATGTGCTTGATTGGCAACCATCATCGAACAATCTTCAGGAGGTTGCCGACATCTTTCCAGCTGCTCTTAGCCAGAACTGCCGGAAATCGTGGGCTGAATCCAATGCGTCAGCTGGCGCTGCAGATGGGTTCTACTGTTGCAGAAGGCAACGGATAAAAACTTGTGCTGACAAGCTGGCTCCCCGTTCCAAGCCTTCATCTGTGACCAGAATTTCAACACGGCGCTGAGCTGTTTCTTCTTGTGTGTGTCACCAAGACAAGAGCAGTGTCTTTATGGCGGTACTCCTCCATGAAGTTGTCAATGCGATCCAAGTCGACTTGCAGATTTGGCTCCGAACTCGAGTCGTTTGACCCGAATCAAAGCCGATTCTGCAGGGCTGCTCGGTTTCATCCCTCCAGATCGAACACCAAAAGAAACCGAACCCCCAAAAGCGATTGGGAAACATGACTCCAATGGGTGAAAATGTCTTGTTTTGGTGAAAACACATTGATCGCTCTCTTTTTTGGAAAGACGGATCACACCCCAAAGACCAGCTGATCGTCTTGGTGAAACGATCCCGTCCCCACGACCATCCCTCCATTTTTCTGACCTCGACCCGGCCTTCTAGCCAGGTAGCACCGCCCTCCATCATCACGCCCGAGCTGCTGCCAAAACCTCGGCTGCTGCGAACAACACGCCGCTGGGCGATGTGCGGCGGAACGACGTGACGGTCTCCTGGGCGGAACTGACTTCGAGTCTGATTTGGACGGTTTGGGGGAAACAAACCGGGGAGAGGAAATCATATAAGCACGCTACCATCATGAGAAAAAATAAAGAAAACAACAACAACAACAACAACAACATGAAACAACATGTTGGGGTGATGCGAACAATTTGTTGATTCATGGAGGTATACTCTACAAGTGGCCCAAACATGCACAAACACAATGTGGTCCAAGCATCAACAATTTCATGAATCTACAGTCTACAGTCGAGCCCCCAATGAAAACAAAGAGGACGTCAGATCGTGGGGTTGCCCAACCACTCTCTGCAGGATAAAACTCTGTCAGAATCCAAACAAACATTATTCTCCCTTTCCAAAGTTTACAAGCACAGCATGTTGATGTACTCTGGCTTTAGAAAAGGGCAACCTTTTTTTTTCACCCTTCAACCCTTTTTTTTCACCCCACCCTTTTTTTTCCACCCTCCACCTTTCTTTTTCACCCTCTGAACCTTTTTTTTCACCCTCGAACCTTTTTTTTTCACCCTCTACCCTTTCTGTTTTGACCCTCGACCCTTTCTTTTTCACCCTCCTTCCTTTGCTTGGTGTGTTGGTTGGTTGGCTGCAAACCAAATATCGACAGCCTTTGGGGAAAACACAGGGTGGTGTGGCTTTGGTTGCTTGGTTTGTTGGTTGCTTGGTGGGCTGCCAACGCAAAGCAAGTATCGACAGCATTTGGGGAAACTAGAGTTTGGTTGCTACCCTTTCTTTTTTACCCCACTTATTTTGGTTGATGCGTTGGTTGGTTCGCCCTGCTTGGCTTGTTGGCTGCTTGGGTTTGGAGAAAATACATACAGTGATGGATGCATCATGGACAGGGAGAAGAATGTTACTTTTTGGCGCGTTGGTTTGTTGGTTGGCTTGCCGTGATTGCTTGCGTGATACAGTGCTTGATGGACATACATGTTTTCCTGTTTGTGTGCTTGGTGGATGGATGGATGGATGGATGGATCTGAAACTTGGTTTTTTGTGCTTGTATAGTCTATTCCGTTTTCAGCCCTTTTCACCATGCCCACCGGCGGGCCTTCGCCTCTCTGGCACCACAGTGCTGGCCCAGCTAGCAGCAACATTCTGGCCTCACATACCACGCACACACGCACACCCACACATCTGGCACCACAGCTCCTGGCCCAGCTAGCAGTATGATTCTGGCGGCCCCATATATATATACATATATAAATGTATATATATAATATACACACACATTCACGCTCGCAACTGACAGGGCACAGACTTCCCCTCACTCCGTTCCACCGGCCTCCTTAGCGCCGCGGCACCTGGCTCAGACATCAGCTAGATTCATCTCACATTCCATCCGTACAAGATCTCGTCCAACCCTATTCTACATGTAGACACAGGTCAGAAAAGACACATTCGCTCCCCTACGCTGCTTTTCTGTGGTCTGTGGTTATGGCGGGCACGCTGTATCACTGGCCCTTGCGCTTGCGACCTCGCGGCCTCAGCGTCGGGATGTTCTGCATGCTAGCTGTGGGATCGTTCTGCAACGCCTTGATGAAGAGCACGTGCTCGCAGTCAGCGTGCAGCAAGAATTCCCGGCAGGTGCACAGCTTGCCAGGGACCGCTTTCTTCAGCTTGCGGTGGCTGCGGGGCCATGACACTTGGACCAAGTGCCCCTCCAAGACTGCGCAATACCTGTGCATGTATTTCTGCAACGCTCCCAATTCTAGCCGCCCCTCCCTGACAATACCTCCCTTCGCCAGCCACTTCTCTAACTGCGTGCCCTCTGCCGCGATGAGGTTGGCAACCGTCTCCGCCACATCGGGCAGCACAATCGCTTCCGCTGCTGTGACTTTGTCGTGGGCTCTGCTTTGCAGCACCCAGAACGTGGTCATCCCTTCCATCCCAGCACCCTCTGTGTCACCTGTGCGGATGTACACTTCGCGGTAGTTGCGGTTCCCACAAAGCCGCTTTTCACGGTGTTCCCAGAAATCCCTAGCTGGGGATCTACCCGCCGAGCGTAGACTTTGGCTATTGAACAGTGCATCTGCCGAGCGTGCGGGCCATGTCACGAACTTCTTCTCTTCGTCCCACGCAAATCGTGCTGCCCAATCCTTTTGGAAAAGGTCTTGCATGCTGCCAAATCTGTCTGCTGGCGATGTCCTTGCTTTGGCTTTGATAGTGCCTTGCCAGTAGGAGTGAAATGATTCCAGCGGCTGTGTTCCAGAGCTGCTGCCTGGATACGTTCCCAGAATTCCGCCCCAGAAGCCGCCAAACCACAAGCTGTCAGCGCCCCAAAGTGTCGCATTGCAGCGAAAGCCTTTCTGCAGGCTCTCGGTGGGCACCTGCTGAAAGTAGGTCCGCTGCAAGTACTCTGCGGCCGCTGCGCTTTTCTCCCGCAGCCACGGAAAAGCCAGCTGCCAAATGGCATCGAACATTTGCACCGTCGGAACCTCCCGGCTGATTTGGATAACCCTCTCCAGTTGGCTGAAGTCTTCCTCCTCTTTCGCCGCCATGGTGCTTGCCCTCGCTGGACTTGGCGACGCGCGCTTCTTTGCTTTGTCTTTGCTGGTCCTGCGGAAGCGCACGTGCTACAAGAATCTCTGCGCTTTGCTTCGCGTTTTTTTTCGTCCCTACAAAACACCCTGACCCGTACGGTTTCCAAGTGCCCTCTTTACCTTCGCCTGCAGCCCTGACCTCGGCCTCTGTGTTTTCGTCAGCAAATACTTCTGGAGAATTTTGTAGGAGGCCCGGCGCATATGCACATAGTCGTCACATGGGCGGGCATACGGAAAGACTTTGCGCCGGGACGCTTCGATCCCCTTGGCGTAGTCCTTGTGCACTTGCCAAACTTGCGCACGTAGATCTAGGCCGCAATATCGCTCTGCAAGGTTGCATGCCTCCGTGAAGATCTGCGTCATATTATTGGCCTCTGACTCCGAATTCACCAACGCTTGGATGAAGGGTTCTTGTGTGGCAGTGTGCGTGTCAATAGACTTTGTGTGCTTGGTCCCTGCCCAGGTTTTGCTCGGCGTCGCGCTGCTCACCAAAAATGAGACTGTCACGATCCCATATTCATTGGCCACGATTTTCTGCTTGGCGTCCACGGCCAGCTTCACCACCTTCCCTTGCAGACAAGCAGCGCGTCGCAGCATGCCCGGGCAAGTCCACACGACGCAGATCCTGTCCACCTCAAAGGTTGGACATGGTAGAACCACTAGTCGCCATGGGTTCCACGTTGCCCATGCCTCCATGCTCTCGCACATGTAGTCCATGGCCGCGTTGCGCACCTGGCTCAAGGTTAGGTTGCCCTTGCCGCTCTGGGGAGGGCCCGTGCGATTGAAACGCACCACAAAGTTGTGCAGCTGCGTGTTGGTACAGCGCACTTGCAGCTGGTGTGCCTGCAGCGCGTCCCGCACATCTTTGGACGTAACCCTGGGCCGCTTTGCATCCAGCCCGCTCAATGCCCATGCCTCTGCGCATGTCCATAGTCTCCCACCGCTTGGCGGCTGTAATTTTCCATGGCAACCTTTCTCCTCTATGCAAAGAAGGGGGCCTTTCTCAGCAAAACATACACTTGCTTTCACTTGTTTCGTGCATCCACTACAAGCGCTCTTGTTGCAAATCCCTAGCGCGCTTTTGCCCTCCCTCTTCAAGTTCCTCTCATGGAAGGTGTACATGCCTGGGTCTCCTCGCTCCCCCAGCACGCGTTCGGCGGCTTGCCACAAGCTTGTGTAGGTTGCCCCGTCTGTCTCCTGGTCTCCCACCCTGTGCTGTTTTGGTTTGCGTATATATATCTTCTTTCAGCATATATTCGGTAACAACTCTAGTTTATACTATACTAAACCTCCTGGTCCTGCTTCTCGTGTTTCCGTCAGCACTGGCTTTACTTCTACCATGTCGGCTATGTCCTGCACAACCTCTCTTCGAGCCAACACTTCCTATCGCTGCTCCCTGCTCCGCATCAGTCCTGGGTCCGTACAACGGTCTCCAACCATGTGCTGCAGTATTGCCACCCCCCGCACGCCTGCTCGAAGTCCACTCCCACATCGACACCTCAGTTGTGCACCACTGGAGCCTCTGCCTGTATGGGCCCACTTGTACCCAGAAGCTGTTGACTGGCCCGTTCTGGACCTCTGGGACGTTTTGAATCCCATCTTAGGTTTTTTCGTTTCTTTATACCATCTTCGGGGATCCTTCCATCACCACCGGCGCACTCCAAGCTTTCGACCTCCGCGTCTGTAACCGGCTCCGCTTCCACGTCCGGTTCCAGCACATTCCGGCCTCATGTTGCGGCGGCGTCCACGCGGTTTTGCTTGCTTGGTTGTAGGTTGCTGGCGGGTTTCTTGGTTTGGCCGCGTTGTTGTAGTTGGTTGCCACTGTGTTGGTGGATGCATGGATGCATGGATGCATGGGTACATGGACGCATGGAAGGATGGATGGATGGATGGATGGATGGATGGGTGGATGGATGGATGGGAGGGAGGGAGGGAGGGAGGGATGGATGGATGCTGTGTCACTGGGGAGGGCGCAACGCCTCCCCCGCAATGCAGACCAATCCTCCCCCGCCAAGGACTGGGCAATGCACAGAGTTATGATGAGATATTATGTTGTTTGGTTGCTTGGTTCGTTGGTTGCTTGTTTGGTTTCTTTGCTTGGCCGCGTTGTTTCTTCGTTGGTTGGTCGGTTGGTGGGCACTCCGTTGGTGGATGGATGCATGGATGGATGCTGGGCTGCCTCGCGTCCCGGCGCAGTTTCCGCCGGTTCGCGTCGTTCCGGATAGTCTCTGCGCAGTTTCCGGAGGGTTCCGAAGGGTTGGTCCCAAGAAGTTTTGGAGGTGACAACTACGGGCTTTGCGGCTGCACATACGCGGCGTGAAACTAACCGGAGGTGACATCGTTCTCTGCGCAGGTTCCAGGGGTTACCTGCTTCGCCGGCGGAGGGTTGACAAGAAAGGGTCGAGGGTGAAAAAGAAAGGGTAAAGGGTGAAAAAAAC